TCAACTCCCAGAATTCTGGGAGTTGAAGTCCACACATCTTAAAGTTGCCAAGGTTGAGAAACACTGGTCTAGACCAACTTAACAGTAACAAGCTTCCAGGACTGCATCTTGACGGGTAGGTGCAGGAGTGGACCAAAACATGGGTGAAGGACTTCCAGGATAAGGTGGCATCCAGGAACGGGAATCATTCTTCAAAGCTTTCTAAACAGTATAATGGCACTAAACAGTACAATTGGGATGCTGTAGGCATAGCTTTAGGGACAATTCAATTATTTTCATAATAAAATGACCATTGCAGCCATTAAAAACACATTAAAAAAACATCGACCACAAAAAGATGTTATGAAGTCCGTAAGAGACATATTGGTGGATATAATATCTTCAGTCTTGTAAGCATATTATAATATAATGATGGCCCAGCTAGATAATTTTAGGCTTTGGATTTAATAATCATATTGTGGGGTCTTTGAAGGAGCCATATGCATAACTCAGAAGAGAAACGGACAATTCATATTTCTTTCTTTTCTCCCTCCACATTTGAAAGGCTGTTTCTCAATTTTTAATGCTATGGAAGGGAGACAATATGAATAATCTTAATTATTTATAACTATAAGTAACGCAAACATAGAGGAAATAAATGCACATATAGTTTTGGTCCTGTCCTGCCTCTTTCAGGAGAATGTGACTCCACGGCATGCTGAATGTAACATTTGACTCAGGAAAGGTACCCCTATTGTAACCATTCCTACATTCCTGTAGGAAAGAAACAAGCACAAGACATTCTGATTATCCCAGGATAATCCCTACTCTGTCCATGAACAAATTCTTTCTAATGCTGCACTTAAATTGTAGTGCCTGCAGGAATTCATTCTTACACAGCCAGAGGAAAGCAACCAGATATGAGATCTGGCCACGGCTAAAACAAGAGACAGATGGAAACCAGGTTTTCTCCCACAAACACAGGGACCTCCAGCCTGTTGCATAGTTTGGACAGGAGGGAGAGGTGAAAGAACTTGAACTTTGATTTCACTATACATAGGATTTGTGTTTAATACACACTAATCACTGGAATTCTTTCTTAATGGCTTCTTAGCTTTTCTACAATAACATTACTTACCAAAAGTTCCCAGATCCTTGTGTGTTTATTTAACTGGTTCAAGTCTTGCCTGCCTGGGAGAAGCCTAACGGCCCCATCATAGTTATGGGACTAAAATGGTTTGTTCCTGCTACTGTTTCATTTGGGGATAAGGATCCTTCTGTTGTTGAATGGATATTCTTAAGTAAAAATAATGTATTGAACATCTGTATGACACTGCAATTATTTCTGTGTAATTGACACTCCTAGCTGGCAGTCAGATAACTTTTAGCAGAATCTTTGCTAAGCAGATAATTTTAGCAATGGTTGTTCTTTATCTAAAAGGAAGAGCTGTTCAATAAATATTCTATCTGTTTCTATTAAGAGAGGGATAGGAAATGTGACTTTTTAAAATATTATTTAATTTAAATTGATAATGGACAATTAGCATACTGCAAAACAAAGTGCCAGCCTCTAATATATTTCTTTACGTTTTCCTCAAATGCATCTGAGCTCTACATTGGTCTATAGGCAATCACTGAAAATAAAAATAGTAGGTAGCTGCAACTCGGTCTGCAGTTTAGGAATGTGTCCCTGTACTAAAAAAACTAATGTCTTGTTACAGAGAGAAGCAAGACCTACACTCTGTCAGCCCTTCAAGGACCAGACTAGGAAACCAAAGTCATGCAGGCGAATACCACTTTTATTATGCCGTTATGGTAACAGAATCTTGCAAGTCTGAATGCGCTTCCCTCTCCCTCCCTTTATCTTCATGAACTAGGGAGGGTCTTATAGGAGGTGTTTTCTCAAGTTACAGTTCTGCTCCAGACTCAACTTTCTTTTATCTGACCATTGCCTTGGTAGCAGGTCTTCCTCCCGTTCCTCAAGGTTATGCCTTCTGCTGACTACACGCTCTCTCTGATTTCTCTAAAAAGATAAAGGAACATGAAGGAATGTGAGGGGAGAGGAGAGAAGAGGGAAACTATAAAGATTTTAATGAAGTGAGGACCTATAAGTTGTTATTTATATCCAATATGGACTGGGGTTCTCACTCAAGGCACAAATGACTAGTCTCAAATTATGATATTTCAGACACATTATGCAAAGGTCTAGCTCTCTGAAGAAGGCTGTAATGCTGGGAAAGATGGAAGAAAAGAGGAGAAGAGGACAACCAGCAGCGAGGTGGATGGACTTGATTACAAGGGCAATGGGTGCACCATTGGAAGACCTGAAGAACTGGGTCAGGGACAGACCCTCCTGGAGAAAATGTTTTCTATGTAGTTGCTAAGAATCAACACTGACTTGGCTCATAATCATAATCAATCATTAGCTGGGCTATGCTCTTCCTTAAATAGCAATTCATATCCCTTGATATCTTGGCATATGGATGGCATCACAGGCCCTCAATGAACCTTCATGTTCTTGAAATGTTAATACAGATATTGCTGTCAATGTAGATTATTACTAGACCAAGCTGGCAAACTCTAAAATAGGTTGAAAATAGATTGAAGAACAATTAAAACTCCCAAAACTTACCTCAAACCCTGGAAAATACAGAAAATCCTGCCCCCATGCTCATACCTAGTGTGATGGAAAAATAATACTCTCTTCCCCGCTTCCTCCTGCCATTCTTTGCTCATGCAAAGCTGGATTAGCTCCAAGCTATTGCATGACCCAAGAGTGATCATGTTCATACTGAAACAATGGGAGGGCCATCACCTATCTGCTTAAGGGTTTTTGGTTCTTATCTCAC